ACAAGAAGAAGTTCAGAGTCCCGCTGAGCACTCACTCTATGAGCAGACATGGCCACGGATAGACCCTCCCCACACCTGGCGGGCCACCTGCTGGCCCCACCCCCACACCTGATGCCAGCTACTGGTCCTGGGAAAGCCGTTTGACAACCACGAGTTGGGTCACATGTGTCAGGTCACGTTGTACTCCACACGGTCTGGGTTCGACTCGAGGGCCCAGCAGTCAGTCCTCCTGCCCCGGGGAATCTGCCTCCCAATACCAGATGGGGATGAGATAGAAGAAGGCTTTCTAACTCGTACTTTCCTGTCCTGTGCACATCCTGGACCCCAAGGTTTTAGAAGGTTCAGCGAAGCTGCTCCTGAGGGGGCACCTGTGTGACACAGGGGACAATGGGATACTTCCCCAGGTACCTGGGGTGACCATGGAAAGGAGAAACGGCAGGAAAACGGGAGCTCGAACGAGACACGGGACAGAGCTCTGGAGATGGCTGAGGGAGGAGACCTGGGTTTGAGTGCCTTCTTTGGAAGGTTATTTACTCCCAAGTCTTCGTTTTCTCAATGTGACACGGTTGTAATGACTGCAGCTCTTCCCAGCTGCTAGGTCATCATGAAGATCAGAGAGAACGGCCTGGCCAGTACCCTGCACACCGTGGAGCTGCCAGAGGGGAAGAGAGAGGGGACGGGAGGGTGAGGCGCCACGGTCTCCTGGGAGAGGGCCATGCTCCTCGCTGGGGGTGGGCGCGGAGCAGAGGAAGGAGAGTCACTGTGCCCACCCAGCCCACAGCTCTACCTCCGCCTCCTCCGTGATGCCGGCAGGTCCCAGGAGGGAAGGGTGGGCTCCCAGATCCAAGCAGCGGTGAATGGGGCAGAAAGGGCAGGGGCCAACAGTGCTGGGTCCCAAGGGAATCACTCTGGGACCCCAAGTCCTTCCTACCATCTGCTGTGGAGGGAGCTGCTTGAGTCCCCTCCACAGGGACGGACAGAATGCTCAATCTTTCCAACCAGCTTCTGAGAAAACTGTGCTTCGAGTCTGCACGCTCCCTCTAGAAGGCAGTGTGGAAGGAAGGGGGAGAGCAGGTGGCAAAAGTGGGCAGGTGGGTTGTGCCAGGTGAGGCTCATCCTTTATTGGTGAGGAATCACTGGAGGGCATCAGGGGGCCATGAGGACACGGTTGCCTCCTGTAAAGGTCTCTCTGACACTCTGGAGGAAGGACTGGAGGGGGAAAGACTGGAGGCATGGAGGCCGGTGTGCAGGAGGATGGATTGGTCTGGGAGAGAGAAGATGGTGGCCTCAACTAGAGAAAGGACAGGGCGGGGGTGTCGGAGGAGAGGGGTGGAGGTGTCGAGAGCTCTGCTGGGGTAGAATGGATGCTATCGGTGGTCTGATTTCACTCTGGGAGATGACAGAGAGGGAGGAATCTAGAAGGATCTCCAGGTTTTTAGGTTGAGTTTGCGGAAAATGGTGCCATTCACTTTGGACAGAAGAACAGGAGAGAGGTTCCATGAGCAGATGCTAATTTCCCCAAGTCCCTGCACCCAGCACCATGTCAGGCGCGCTAGAAGCGCTCTGTGAATGTCTGCTGTGCATGGAGCAGCATGAACACGGCAGAACAGCAAAGACATGCAGATAAGGGAAACCAGATAAAGAGGCAGCAACAGAAACTCAGAGATGGCTACAGTGTCAGCCTAGAAGGGACTCCAAGTACAGACGGGATGGGAGACTGGCCACAGGCAGAAGCTGAAGCCGCAGAGCAAATCGGTGGGAGGGACCCAGGTCTCCTGACCCCACCGGCTGAGGCGCTCTCTCGTCTGCCCCCACCCAGCCCCACACACAATGGCTCCCTGGAGTTCCTCAAGTCTGGTTCCAAAGAAGCACAAGGGAGGCAGCAGGCTGCCAGGCCGCCTGTGCGACCACAGGATGAAGGCCGGGCTGCCCCACACCAGCCAGGGAGGGAGGATTCCAGGACAGGCCCCGCCAAGGCCACTGCCAGCCACGGCCTTGCAACCTCACGCCTGCACATGAGCTGAGAGACAGGTGCAGGCCTCCTTCCCTGCCCTCACAACTCCAGAGGCCGGTGCTCAATGGCCAGCTCAGGAGGGCTACCTGGGGACTCAGACCCCTGAGGAAACACCTCTGTGACAGTGACAACAGAGCAGCCACAGGACCAGCAAAGCATCGAAAAGACTGAGCTCTGTGAGATGGTGAGATCCTGTACCAGGTGTTCCCGTGGCCAAGGCTCATCTGAAAGCCAACAAGTGAGACCCATTAAATGCTTCCTGTGTGAGAGGTGTGGACCTTGGCACCCGCGTATAGTATCTCTACCCCTCAGCAACTCTAGGCAGTAGACATCATGGTCGTCTTTGCACAACTGAGTGAGCTGAGGCTCAGTGACGTTAGGTAACTTGCCCAAAGCGGCACAGTGAGTAAGTGAAGGAACTGGGCTTCAAACCCAGGCCCAATACCTTAAAAGCTCAGATGCTATAGCACAGTCCCAGGACTTTCTGATTCCCGGTCCAGAGCATTTGGTACCACCTCCCACCTTGTTGTTAGTGAGGTTTTCCAAACCAAGTGGAAATATTAAATAAGATAATATACATGGAAGTATACTGTAAACAGTAAAGCACCTCATAAATGTCAGGCATGGCTATTATTCTGTTTTTATTCAGGGTCATAGATTTTTATTTTGCCAATTTTGGATTAAAAATAAACAAATCACCATCAACTACCATCACCACTTCTTACAGAAAAAGTATCTGAACGCCAAAATTTGTAGACAGGATGTTAATTGTGGAATAAAAGGCAGTCCTCTCGATTGAATGCATCCAACGTTATGGAAAAATACGTTACAGTCTTGTTGCTTTTCTCACTCTCAAAAACGTTGGGTTTATACTTGGAAATCACTGGCCTCAAGGACCATTTCAGCTCCAAAATTCTTCTGTGCATCTACTGTTCTTGTTTACTAAATAAGAATAGCCTTAAGGAGCAGAATTGGACAGCCTTTAACAACATAATTCTGACTAAAATCTATAACCATGGTGTAAAAAAACTTTGTGTCTAGTTAAACATGCATTGTTTTCAACCAGGTCCAAAAGACACCAGACATCTGGTCAGTTCAGCTGTGACTGTGGAAACGGCGCTGTGGTTTGGCATCATGGAGACAGCCCCGTGGCGGGGGGCTGTGTTTGTCACTTTGAGGCTGCTGTGGCTTCCTCTTCCTAGAGGCCCTGAAGGAAAGATTTGGGCTCCTTCCCTCTCTCACATTCCTGAGGAACGTGTCGACAGCTCTGTATTAATCATGTTTTTTATTTTATGATGTTTTGACATCTTGGGGGGCCTAGTGGGCAGGGAGAGACTGCCCCTCCCAGGGCCGGCTAATTCCTAGAGATAATAAACAACCAACCTTAACAGGCCTTTCATATGCAAACCAACCAATCCCAGGTCCATGCCTCCAACCATCGCTTTTATCCAACTCTCACACACCAAGCTAATACTCCTCTTGCCCTAAATCACCCCAGGGCCAGGTACCAACAACTAGAGACCACCTCTATAGCCCAGAGCCCGAGACATTATTCAGACTAGCCAGACCTAAGCTGTTTCCTGTGCCCTGCCTTGCTTTTTCCACAAAAACACAACAAAGGCACTGGCCCATGTGCTCCCACGCTCCTTCTGCCCCCTGGCCAGAACTCGTGTCTCCCCTGTGGCCCTGCGTGGTAGCGCGTGCCCCTCCTCTTGGGAAACGTAAAGAGTAAATTCTTCCGTCAATGGTATTGATCTCTCCATGTCCTCACTCAGTCACGTCTATAAATTAAAATCCCTTGGGCACGTTTTAACAAGGCTCCCCTCGTGCTGAACTCAGTTCCTTACATTCTATGAGGACACAGGAAAGGGAACAGCCCCCTCTCTGAACTGCCCTTCCCGTTGCCCAGTATACTCGTGGCTGAGCCTTGGGGGTGCCCCTGACAGAGACACTCACGCCTCCCAGCCCCGGGGGGCTCTGTCTATGACTTGCCACCGGATGTTAGCAACATAGGAAGCTTCCTGGGAGGCCTGTGCATCTACTTAGGGCTGGACCCAGGCCGTGGGAAGGCTGGGATTACAGGCACTCCTCCCACAGCTGAGGGACGGAAGAGCTTGGAGGAAGGCTTCAGCCGGGGGAGGGGGTGGGCAGAGTGGGCTGAGCCCCACAAAGCTGCAACCACAGATCAAAATAGCAGGAGAGAGAAGTAAGGCAAGTTCTGAGCGTACGCCCCTCCCCCGCAAACACAGACTCCTCTCCCCAACCCCAGCCTCGCGTGAAACTCAGTACTGCCCAAGGCAAAGACATTTGGCTCTGACGGTGCCCACCAGGTTCACCCAGAACCTCCAGGGAAGACATCTGAGGTCACTGTGTCAGCAAATTGACATCTTTACCAAGTCTTTCCTGGGTCCAGTCCTGTGCTCAGTCCCCTGAGAAAACACAGGCAGAAGGAAACCTGGAGAAGCCTGTATGACATGAAGCACAACAGGCCACGGGCTCTGCAGACATGGCCTCTGAGTGATGGGATATAAGACTCATGACCCCAGCACAGCCTTGAACGAGAGGCCTCTGACCTTGATCACCACGTCAACTTCTGTGGTTCCTGGAAGTTATCACCTGAAGAAGATGGTCTCAAAGGCTCAGGAGGGCTTGCTCCCCATTCCATCCTCTCTCTCTCCACATGCAAACAACAAACGAGGCTTTCCACGGCCCCATCTGCTCTGCCGGGCTCGCCCTCTGCCCACCAGCCCCAGGCCCCTCACCCTGGCTCTGACGCCCGAGCTCCCCAGCACGTGAGAACTCAGAAGCTGAGGAGCTCAGTTCAGGGGGCAGAGAGCAGCCCCAGACCCTCCAATCCCGCTGTGGGCATGGTGGTGAAGATCCCACCACCCTCTGGACTCCGAGTGGACAAGGGGGCCCCAGGCCCAAGAAGCTTGGATGCATCCAAGGGGAAAGAAAGAGACCCTGGGGGCCAGGCTTAACTCACGCTGCTTCTCCTGCAGGATGCTAGACGTGCACGGCGCGCTCCCTTCTCCTGCAGAAAAAGAAAAGAAACGTGAGCCAACTCCCCATCACTGTTGGCTGGACACTGGGAGGCCAGCTGTGGCTGCTGCGGCTCTTCCTCTCAAGCTGGCCCCCTCCCGGATCTGGGGGTGGGCAGAGGGATCTCCCACCCCCTCAGGCCCTGCCCCGCCCCTGCCCACTCAGCTCTTGGCTCTTTATGCAAGACAAGCATGGAGTCGTGGCGCCATTGCCTGGGCATGCGTGGCCTGGCCACCTTTCACCTCGGCCTTCTTCTCTGGCGCCTCTTCTCCTCCCACCTTCCTAGAGCAGCTGCTGACCTGCTGTCACCCTTCTCTACATACTTACTCTCCCCTCTGACAGTCACCGTTGAACACCACATCCCGCAGACAACTGCCAAATCTGTCTCCTAAGTTCTTGACCCATATCTCCTGCTGCCTCCCGGACATCGGCTCTGGATGCTTCCCAGGTGGCTCACACTCACCAGGACCCCAGTGAGGGTCCCGGAACTGCCCCTCTTTCCAAGTCCCTGCCTCCATGAAGGCACCACCTTCTCCACCAGCCTGGGAGTCCCCCACGACCCTTTCCCTCCCTCGTGCCCACAGTCAGTCACAGAGAGCTGTAGGGTCCGCCCCCTTCTCTCTTCATGACTCGCTCCCTCTCCACCAGATTTAGACTGCCCAGTGTTGTCCACCAGTGTGTCCCCAGGCCCACAACAGTGCTTTTCAATTTGCTGAATGAATAAATGAATGACCCCCACACACACACACCCTCACCACCCAAATATAGAACTCCACCCTATCTCCTCGGACTATTGCAATAGCTTCTTTCGTTTAATGAGAAGCTTTTTTCTATAATTATGAAAGTAATACAAGCTCCTTATTGGAAATTTGGAAAACTAACAAACATAAAGAAGGAAAAAAGACTCCTCATCATCCCACCACTGAGAAAACTACTGATCCCTCTATGTCATTCCTTCCAGGCTTGTTTCTATACGCATTTTGGGGGCCCATTGAGATCATATCAGCTCTTCGTGAGCAGGGACTGTGTCATTTGTCTCTGTGTTCCCAAAAAACAGATAATGGCTGGCTCATGGAAGGCATCATAAATGATAAGGAAGCACACAATACACCTTCTGTACTTCAAGTCGAAGCATAAATGGTTCACCAACAAACTTACAAAACCTCTGTAAACATCACTCCAATGGCTATATAATATTCTATCCAGAGGATATATCATGGTTAACTTTAAAATTATCCTGTTGGTGGAAAGTTTCAAAATTTCACCATTATAATTACTGCTGCAATGAACACATTTGTGGTTGAAGCTCTTTCTGCATTTTTTTGTGATTTCCTTAAAATACGTCCACAGAAGGAGAATTCTGGGTCAAAGGGTAGGAACATTTTTAAGGCTCCTAACGTTAGCGCTGCTTAAATAGCTATGATAGATATGTAGTCACAGGTTAGCATACGTTAGCATAAGGGAATCCATCTTGTAGAAGGGAACCATGTTGGAGCTATAAATGACCGTGACCCTCAAGACCCCCCCCTTTCTGAGTCAGCAATGCTTTAGTTTGCACATAGTCCACACCTGCTTGCGAGCAAAATGCACGCTCTGCTACTTTCTCGACCTTGGCACATATATATATATATATTATATATATACATGGACCTCCCTATTGTGATAAGGCAGTAACTTTGTTCTTTAAGTTTTCTCAGGAATGTAACGACCTCCAGGAAGGAGCCCTGTGCTGGTATCCGTCACTGGTGACAAGGAAAAGGGATGATCCGGCGTCTCAAGGACTACAACACCAGATGGTCGCATTCTGAGACCTCCCTTCTTTCAGCCCCTTTGCCCTACATAACTGCTTCAAAAGTTTGTAGTTTTAAGATGGTTCTTTACAGACGCTAGTCCGCCATCCTCCCCCTTGCTGGCAAGCTGTAATAATAAAAGACCCTTTCTCTCCTACCACCTTGCCCCTGGACTGTTGGCTTGTGGCCTTTGCAGCGAGTAGAGGACCCCTATTTGGCAGTGACACTAATGTTTACTGCTTGATTGCTTTCCTGTGAGGTGTGTATCCCACTTACATACCCACCTGCAGCAGAAGTGAGTGCTGTTCTCAACAGATACTCACTTCCCTGGCATTTACATCTGTCTGTCTGTTCCATGCCTCTGGTTTCACCAGATGAATCTTTCCAAAGCTAGCATGCCCAGGCCACTCTCTTTCTTAAAGTCGTCCAGTGGCTCGTGATCATTGAATTCTGACCCTGGCAAGCAAGCCTCTCCATACAGTGGCCCCTGCCCACCTCCCCAGCCTTTTCCCATCCCTTCCTGCTCACCCTCCACCAGCCAAATCACAGTTTCTGAACCTGCACAACCTGCACACCTTTCTCTGCTCTTCTACCTTTCTCTGACGAACCCGCTGTGTCCTGCAGGCCGGGTTGAAAACCAACCCCGGACCACCCCTTCCATGAAGGCTAGATTCTTTCCCAGAAGCCTTGGTTCTCACAACCTCTGTCCTCAAAGGTAGCTCTGGGTCCCAGGGGCCAGCACAGGCTCAGGTTCAGCAAAGGCCAGTTCCCTTCCCTCTTGAATGCCCTCCTCAAGCCCACCCCTCCTGACTGGAAGGCTCAGAAAGGGACCTACGCAGAACCCCCAGGAGCTAGAAAGCTCCCTGTGGAAATTAATAAAAGAAACCCTAACTAAATTGGAGGTAGGAGGGCTTGTTGTCAGAGCTCTCACATCCTATCATACCTCATTGATTACTCCAAACAGGAAGAGACCTATGTTTGTATCTTCCACAGGAAGTAGAGCTACTTTACTATTGAAGGAAGATTTCTCTTCCCACCCGGCAACAGCCCAGCCAATGAGAAATGCCGCAGCTCAGCCAATGAGAAGCTGTTGCCGCCCTGAACGGTTACTTTCCCCCAATGGACTTTCCTTTAGAACAGTCCCTCCCTACTCCCCCTTTTTCTCTAAAAAAGCAGCTCCACTCCTTTGTTTTCCAGATTTGCCTATAGTTCACCATAGCGTGCATATCCTGAACTGCAATTCTTTGGCTATTCCCGAATAAATTCGTTTTGGGGGTAAAATAAGCAAATTTGCTTATAAGTTGACATCCCTGTACCCACAGTGAGGCTGGAATCTGAGAAGTGGAGTCCCCAGTCCTCAGCTCACCAGACCACAGCCCAATGAGAGCCAATCAGTCAACAGTTCTGTCTGAGCCCCCCAAAGCTTTGCAGCCAGGGGGAGCCCCTTGGCGTCAGGAGTCCTAGCCCTGGCTCTGCTGCACCATGTTTTGGGTCTCAATTATTCGCATCTGACTAATAGAAGGTGGTACTCTACCATGCCGAAGGGTCCTCCAGCTCTGCCTTTTCTGCTTCCCAGGGCGAGGTGTCCTGAGGGACAGCACAAAAATGGCTGGACTGGGGTCTGGGGCCTGGGGTAAGCAATGTAGAGGTCATGCCTCCAGCCTGAAAACTCTAACTAGAGGCAGGATCCTGCTGCGCAGGTAGGACTGTCTCTTCTGAACTTGACCATGCTGGCAGAACCTACAGATACCGGGCCTGGCACCCCCAGCTTCCTGAGCAACTCTGAGTTCCCCAAAAAATTAAATCTATGGCTTCCCAGAGAGAAGCTGCTTCCAGGCCTCTCCTGGGGGCCCAGAAAGCCCTTCCTTATGAAAAGCTGCCCTGTTCCCTCCCCTGCAGAAAGAACTCAAGGGCAGCTCCAATCTAGGAAACTCTGCCGCCTCCCCACCAACAGTCCAGGGGCTGATGTGCAACTCCCTTCCATGTGAATGAAGCCTTCCCAGATGCCATCCCCCGGAATCCATCACCCTGTTTCCCTAGCCCCCTGCCTGCCAGCACTGCCTTCACAGCTCCTGTGCCTGAATCCTAGTCCATCTCCCTCCTCCACGGGGTCAGGGCCCCTGGGCACTCTCAAAGGCAAGAGTAAAGAGGGGAAAGAGCATACAGTTGGAGTTGGGAGGCTGAGATTCTGCTCCAACTGACTCACTGTGTGACCTGAGGCAAGTCACTCTCCCTCTCTGGGCCTTGTTCCCACAATACAGTACGTGTCCAATGCTCTCTAAGGACCCCACAAGTACTGAAAGCCCTTGGGTAGTACTGAATTATGGTTAAACACCTGGATTCAAATCCTGGTTCCTTCATTTACTGACTGTATACCCTCGGGCAAGTTACTTACCCTCCGTGTGCCTCAGTCTTCTAATCTATAAAATGGGGATAGCAGTGGTACCTACCTCAAGGGTTAGTGTGAATATCCAATGATAGTATGTGCAAAGCCCTTAGCACACAGCCAGGCGCACAGTAAGCATTCAGTAAGTGAGGATTGCTCTTATTGTTATTTTATTTACTTACAACAATTGGCTCAAGACCTTGTCTCTGCCATCACAATTGCAGGTAGAGCCACGAGGAGAGACTCACTGGTTAATTCCGTGTGCGGCTCACAGTGCTCCCCAGAGCCTGTGCGCAAGAGGGACCCAGACAGAGACAGAGGCCTGGGCACCCTCAGAGAGTAGTCCCCCGCCAGCATGATGAGGTGGCCACAGACGGCTTCCCAGGCTGCAAGAGCAGCAGAACTGAGCGAGGAAGCCCCGGTGCCAGAGGCGTAGGTCAGGACCAAAGACCAGTATGTGTGTGAGCGTCAGCTGAGGCCCACAGGGAAGGTTAGCTCCCGCCACCCAGCAGGACAGGGCCCTAACATCGAGATCAAGACATTCATTTACACACACCTTCTATCTGTCTGCTGAGCACCATGCTGGGGGCCGGGGGGGATGCGGAGGTGAGTGAGTCAAGGTGAGATGAGAGAGGAGGAGGGAGAGATTCATTCTGCCCGAGGGACCCTGGGGCAGCGTGAGGCAGAGCCTAGATTTGAGCTTCAGGGAGAGGAAAGGGCAGGGCAGTCCCAGCAGCCAGCAAGACAATGTCCACAGCACACTGCCTACAAGGAAGAGCAAGGATGTAGGAGGGCCCAGCCCTGGGCAGGAAGCCC